CGTTCAGTAAGATGTTGTTCCTTACAGCCATTTCGTTTCGTAATTGATCTAAAATTGTCTTATTGTCATTTATAACATGTCTCTTTATTTCAAGATAGAAACTCTTCAATTTAAATCGATGGATCCCTTGTTGCAATTTTGATGAACTTAAATGGGACATTACACCACTTTCTTTTTTTTTTATATCATTTCATGTACATGTACCATGTTTTTGATATTTTAGTTTTGATAATGGTTTAATGTTGATGATAACTTGTGGAATACAGCACTACATATAAGTTTAAATATCTTTTCAGAATGTCTGGATATGACGATATTTCACCTATTGTCATTGACAACGGTTCAGGTGTGACCAGAGCCGGTTTTGCTAATGATGAAGCCCCAGTATGTGTGTACAGCACAGTAATAGGTAGGCCAAGATCATATACAAAATGCAAAGTAAGAATAATGTTTCGGTTGAGACGGAAGTGCAATAAAAGAAAAAAAATAGGCAAACTTGATCTTTTTTTTCTCACCCAAGGTGAAGGTTTTTTTTATGTTTTTGTTAAAAGTTGTACTGCTTGCGTAGGAATTCACTTGCATACAGCAGAAAGTCTAAAATATCAATGTATGTGCACACATTAGGCGGGATTCAGATAGAAAAGGGGTTAGAGGTTGGGAAGGGGGAAGGGGGATTGTCGTTGGTTAAAAGGAAATCGAAAGAAAATCGTATTTTTAGCTAACAGTGAACTTTAAAATATCATGTTAGCATACAAAAAAAGTCCAAAGATTGTCTCGTCCCTGTGTTCGCTTGAATGTAAATAACACTCTAACAATGTTATGCATCTGAAACGCCATTCTGGATTTACTTCCATCAAAGCCAAACATTTGAAAGCCGTATGGATAATTTACCACCCACGTCATTTAAGAGCTTAACGACCACAAGACATTAAAGTAACAGCTAAAACCGTATAAAATCAACCTACCCAGAGGGGATTAGAACCTTAGCTCTCTCTGATATTACAAAATTGTATCAACCGTAAATTCAAGAATGGTTGTTATGAATTATGACGTACCGAAGCACTGACTACTACGCTGATGATACCTTCCGGGCCTAAAAGTCAACCAGAAGTGGTACGGAACTTGTGCTAGTAAAATGAAAATAAAATTTTACAATTTTATATATTCGAAGCGCATTACCGAATTTACCTTCATCGGGAAAGTCCAAAGCTAAAGATTTTAAAGCCGGATGAATAAATACCGAACAAGGCTAAGGAAGAGCTATACGAATTCATTACGGTTGTAGAGTTAGCCTAGTCTCAAATCCCAAAAACCGCCTGTCCACATATTGCATAAGAATAAGTGTGGAAAGGCAATTATAGTCATATATATATATTTATGTATATATATATTAGTTCATGTTTGTCATATTTGTTTTTCGTAAACTGTTTTGTTAAAAGAAGGCCGTTACTTTTCTCAATTGAATTTCTCATATTTTCATGTTGGGGCCTTTTATAGCCAATCTTACAATATGGGTTTTTTGTCATTGTTGAAGGCCTTACAGTTGCCTATAATTGATTCCATCCACTTCATTTGAACTTTGATGGATAGTTGTCTCCTTGGCAATCATACCACATCTCCTTATTTTTATATAGTACGTATGTCTATGCTTTTTTCTCTACAGAGTATGGTTATTTTCCCCTGCTTCTCTCCTCTCCATAGTAAGGTATTTTATTCATGTTTTTGTCTCTCTCCAGAGTATGGATTTTAAAGATAACTGTGTTGGAGATGATCTGTTTTCACTGGATTATCCTATAGAACATGGAATTGTAACAAACTGGGACGACATGGAACTGATATGGCATGATATTTTCAATAGTTATCTAGAGGTGCCGCCAGAGGAGCACCAATGTCTCCTAACATAACCTACACTCAATCCAAAATATAACAGGAATAAAAATGGCACAGGTATGCAGCTTTACCATACACCGATGTACACACTGTAAGTCGTCAAAGGAATTACCAGCTCAGTAGTCATTGGTTAGCCACTGTCATGACGTATGGTATACATGTTTTAAAAAGTAACATAACAAAATTACCGAACCAAAAGGACGATTTAAAATGGGAAGTCCTTTATCAAATTAAAACATATAAGCTCAAACACATCAAAAGGATAGAAAACAACTATCATATTCCGGACATAGTACATAATTTTTTTTATGAATGGATTATTAAACCTCTCTCAGTTGAATTTCACTCATATAGAAAACCATTACATTGATATAAATAGGAATGTGTTCGTCTTTCATATTTACGTTTTGTTTAAAAACATGAAAATATATAACAAAAAAATATAACTTGTATTGATTTCAAATTAATTTTACACTTCCAATTACTTGTCCAATAGAAAAAGCTATTGACGTGTGATACATGTTCGCAAATTTCACGTAATTATCAAGTGCTAGTATAAGCATTGTCAACCACAGTCACGAAAAAACCCACTTTGTCTTTTTCCAATTATCGTTTTTGTCTAATAACATAAAGTTTTAAATGTGAAGCTGTACATGTATATCATTTACAAGTATTTGTTTTTTTTTTAATATAGATATTTTTCAAAAATGTTTAAAGTACCTGCATTTTTTGTCTGCATGCAAGGTGTCTTGTCATGTTATTGGTCGGGGAGAGGCTCTGTAATCATGCTAGAAATAGGAGATGGCGTGACACATATAGTTCCTGTTTGTGAAGGTGAGTTGACAAAATATGTCACTTTACACTGTCGGCCACTTTGGTTAGGTAACTTTCACAGACATGAAAACACATGGTGACAAAAAATTACAATCAAAGTAGAGGAAAAAGTAGGAAATCACTGTCATTGATCTTTTGGCAAATAACAGAATTACCGGCAACATAGAACTTCTATGAACAATATATATCGTATCTTAAAAATTCAGTTCGTTGTTACAACAGAACATCATAACATTGCATTTGTTTAAATCTATGTTCGTTTCTGAAACATATGGTCAAAACATCTCAATATTTGTACATATATAAGATATAAACCTTATTACTGACACAAAAGCCCAAGGCGTCTTAACATTTGTATATATCTAGATTAAGATATGCAGTCGTTACAAAATGCCGAAATGAAAAAGGACACATTTTTGTAACCACCGGTAACATATAAGCATAACGCACTATGTTTAGAAAACATATATTTTTCAATTCTCATTTTATAGATACTGAGGAAATGCTTCATAATGACCTATATATAAAATTGATAGCTTTGGTCTGTTTGGAAATCATTTTACGACATAAAGTTGATGATTTCAACATGTTCAACTCTTCAATTGTGAACACTCCATTTATGTATGTCATCTAAATATGTATCGATTCCAACACTTTTATTTTCAATTTTACTGCGAACAAGGAATATATTAAACCGATCAAAGGGTTGATCTTGTAAAGTCATCGCTCTGAATTCAAACGGACGCTCCCACGATTGTGTTGACTGTTGAAAAATAGATATAAACAAATGGACACAAACATGTCCCATTTATCATTGCCTCAATGTATAATCCCGTCCTCTTCACCTCGATTATGACAACAGTGAGTGAGTCTTAGCACGAAATATACATTTGCAAAGATTTACACGACAGGACTCACAAGTGAAGCTAGATCTGCATGCCCTTTTGGAGCTAAACCCTAGTTTTATTATGGGGTTTATGTTGATAAATATCAGTTTTTATTGTCCCCTCTTGGTCTTCTTTTAAAGTGAATTATTCGTATTAACACATTACTTTAATGGTTTTGTTTTGATTTTCAACTCAAAAATCAAAAGAACTGTTAGAAGACGTACAATCTAAGTCAAATCTTCGTATGCAACTACAGAAAAAGATTTGACTTTTTCTGTCATTTTTATTTTTGTTTTGGGAACTTGTACATTGTTAAAAAAAACCTATGATTTGAATAAAAAGTTCACCTGGGAACAGTATATCTAGCGGGAAATGAATCTGATAGGCTTTTCAGTATAAAATTGATAAAATCTCGGACTTTACGAGACTTCGCGAGATTAATGGATTTTGGTAGCGTCTAACTGAAAAATTATCGGAACTGCTCAATAGATTAACCACATAATTCTAATCGTAAATAAATACAAGTTTTATCATAAAGTAGATATATTTTGTCATGTAAAATGACCATAATGAGTGTGATTAATTTGATGTGAAGTGTTTTAAATTGGTTTGGCAAGAGGGAATGCAGTTGGCGCCATTTTTTTATTACCAAGTTTGCATTTTGTACCATTCTGTGATGAAATGAACGCAATTATAACAAATTTGAAGTGACAGATTACATGTTCGATACACTTGCATCACTTTAAAACTTAGTTTGAATGATACTTTATTGAAATTATCATAAATTACCATTTTAACACATGTCCGTTTCCGTATCGTATTTTTATTAACTATGACCCGACGATAAAATCGGCTACAATTAGGTAGTGTCAAGTCCCGTAAATATATATGTTCCTGAGTTCACTCAACCTAACATCCCGAAAAGACTTACTTTAAATTACAACACGTTTGTTAAAGTTTTGTGTTTATCTTTCAACAAATAATTGGTATTCATTTTTCCTTTATTCTTATTAGACTGACAACATATAGGAGGCTGCATGAAAACTGAAAGGAATCCGGTATTATTTTGATCTTTCACTGAAAAGAACAGCTTTTCCTTCATTATGTCAAACACATGTTTTTTTTTTAATTTTTTTTAATTTTCATATTGCGTTATACAATTAGCTTCGGAAGTATTCAATTATTTTTATTTTTCAAAATTTTAATTTTGCTTTACAAGTTGCTGATGAAGACTAAGCAAGAAAACAGCATTGGATGCACCAAATGTATAGTATGCTTATTTTCTCAATCAATTTAGTACCACTTATTTCTGAATTTATAACGACGTTTAGACGACGTTTAGATTGTGATGAGCTTTAAGTATGTTACAAAAATATTTATTGCAGGTGATTTTGAAATTGTGAGGGAAATGAAAGAAAAATTGTGTAATGTTGCGGATGATTTCTCAGAAGAAATTACTTTGTCGGAATGTTTTCCTGATGTTGATAAATCATATGAACTTCCAGATGGAAATTTGATTACTATTGATAAGGAGAGGTTCCAATGTCGAGAGATTTCGTTTCGACCTTCGAACGGTAAAATAGATTTATGAAAATAAGGATATCATCAGTAAATAAACTGATGACTCATATAAGTTATCCTTCTTGCCCCGAAAAGATAAACCACAATAATAAAGTTATATTGGCAAGAAAAATCTTGAATAACTGACACGAAACTAACCAAAAGCCAGTAATAAAATCGTGATATTCGTCGTGGTTTCCATTCAAGTAAAACTCCGAAAATTAATCGCATTCAATAATGTCAGATTCGAGGAAATTAAAACGGAATGATGACCGTAGTTACGAAAAGTGGAATATTTCCGAAGATAACAATCCTCCATTGTGTTCATTTACTAACACTAAGGCTGTGAGTTCAAATCCCAAACGTGGCAGGTGCCCTCGACTTCAATTTTAATTGACTAGGATTATCAGTTTTCTTACCGAACGGCAGTGCTTCTCTCAGGGCACTCAGACTATCTCCACCAATCAAGACTGACCGCTACGAAATAATAAAATAGTGCTGAAAGAGGTGTTAAAAACCAATGTATCAATCAATCCATTAAGTTCAGGAGCACAGTCCAGACCCTCATGCAAATGCTTTGAAGGCAAAATATTAACAAAGTCTTATTTTCAGAATTTCACTGTTAAAAATGAAATGTACGTGTTATGTATGTCAAATTAGTAAAAAAGGTTACCAAAATCATTATTTGGTATAAATGGTTAAAATTTCTGTTTAGTGATAAAAAAAAAAACAATTAAGAGTAACGTCATCACTGCATTATGCGTCAAACCTTAACAAAAATGTTTTGGACATGACACATGCACCAGTATAAATTATTCAGTAAAGCTAAGTTAAGTACGCCCCATAGGGCTGATATCGATAACACAGAAAACTAAGAAGAAAAATATGTAATGTTTGCAGAAAATTCATTTGACATTTTTTGTTTAAGCAAATGGCAAACCAAAGTCAACGAAAATAACGCTGATTGATTTCGAGCCTCTGATGCCCTTCTCTGAAACTACTGTCATTAGAACCGCTAAAACACAAACATTTGAAAGTCGGACGTATACATACGTTAAAACAATAGGAGCTAGTCAATATATATTTTCGATATTTATATGCATTCTTGATTGATGTATTTGGTATGCATCTGCAGGACGTTTTCTCGGATTTATCTTGGAAAGTATAAAACTCACATATAAAAATTTTAATAATCTTAAGCAGTCTTGTATGTTCTAGTACCTTGCAAATGTTCAACCCCACTACCTCCTTGCTTAACTTCATACCTGATTCCATAGGCTTTTTTAATAAGAAATACAACTTTTACTCATAAAATAAAGCTGAATATTTAAATGTTAATTCGGTAGTAGCAGCTCATATGGTAAAGTGATGTAAAAATAGCCTAAAGAGTATTGCTGATCTACCATAGTATTCAAAGACAACGATCCAAACTAAAGTTGTTCAGTACGTATGCATCTTTTGGTTGTAGATTGGTTCAGGGTGTGCTCAGTATGTTAAGCTATAAAAAAAGAAATAAATATTAATATTATAAAAAAAGGAATCAATAAAGCCTCTTTTTAGAACCATTTCGTTGACGGATTCGTCCAACAACAAGTCATATGTATTAAGTACCTCTTTTTTGTCTATATCATGAAATAAAGCAGATCTGAAAATCACCATAATACCATTGCACGTGCTGGTCTGTCTTTTTATATTTAATTTATATAACTATCGACAGTTGACAAAGGTCTTCACGTCAATTTACTAAATAACGTTTACTCTTGAAATGTGCACGCACTGCACAAACCTTTTATTCTGATTTTATACATTGATTATTGTTTTCCTATGGTGCTTTTAAAATTCTTATAAATTGTATAATATTGAAATCAAATGAGATAGATTGTGTCAAATCGGTAGCTATGCAGTTGACAACTTATACCCCTCTAAATATCAATGGATAAAGTAAAAGATATCTCAATACTTTAAAATCAATTAACATGAAAAATATGTGAGACGAAACAAAAAAATATTAACATGACAGAACATTTTGAGTTCAAATTACAGCAAATCCTTGTGAGGGTACTATAAAGATGGAATCGAGAGTTGCTATAGATACGAACGGGACATTTAAACTCAAAAACCGAGAAAATATTTACATACAGACAGTTTACAAAACATAACATAGCAAACTAAAGACTGAGAAACACAAACCCTACCAAAACAACAAAGTCAGGTGCTCCGGAAGGGTAAGCAGAACCTCCTCCTTTTGTGGCAACCGTCGTGTTGCTCGTGTAAGTAAAAACTCGCTGGTACGTATAGTTCGGTAGTATGTGGCGTGTATAACCTAGTATACATTTGTTTTCCGTTTTAGAAATAGGGTCTGATGGTATACACAAGTTATTGTACGACTCAATTATGATAATTGACATGGACTGGAGAAAGCATTATTATATAAACATAGTTATATCTGGCGGATGTACAATGTTCTCAGGTAATGACAAGGTAGCTTAACATTCCTTTTGTATATATTTTCAGCATTCTAACTAAAATGGTTTAGAGCTTGACATATTGTAAGGCATCTGTCTAAATTGGAAGACCGTTGTTATCAACCATTTCAATTTTTGCTCATTTTGTTTGTTCGATATCTCGTTAATATGTAAAATGCATCTCTATTTATTAGCACGAATTTAAAGTTGATTAAACAATATATCAGGAAATATTAACCGGATTACATGAACTATATATATCAATATACCGGGGGTACATTGCAAAGTAATGTACAACAAAAGTAAAAAAGGAAATTAACTGTTCATATCATGTTTGTTCTTTCTTTAATCTCAATATTAACAATTGTAGATTTTAATACTTAATGGTTGTGTTCTTTCATTATTTCGTAATAGTTTTGCTCTGACCTTTTTTCTGTTTTAATTCCTGCTTTGCAAGGGTTTTGCCGAAACATTCAAAAGAATGCTCACACTCAACAATATATTGTGTAATTTGTTTGTGGAGTATCTATTTCCCCTGTTTTTTTAAGAATAAATAGTCTATCTTATACAAAATCACCAACAACATGTGATACCTTACAATTACATGTATAAGTCACTGTCAATTGTGATTGATATTTGAGAATGAACTAACTTAAAAAATGTAAAGTGGAGGGGTAACTAAACAAATTTCTGATACAAGCTTTATATTTTCGATGTAGGGGCCTTTTAAAGTAAACTATACGGTATTGGGTTTTCTCAATTTAAGAACCGTACGGTTGCTTGTAATTGCTTACATCCACTTCATTTAACTTTGATTGATAGTTGAAAATCATACCACACCTCCTTTTTGTTACAGAGTGTACAAAACAGTAAACATTGCAAATTTTAACCGTCATCAATGCTACTTGAAATTTTTTTATGTCGAAGCTAATTCTTACTAATCGGCATATTTCATATCGATATTAAAAAAGCAGAGTTTATAGAAATAAAATTGATTTCTTAATCACAAATTTATAGAAATTCAATGTATTGTAGGATTTGCAAAGCGTCTGCAGAACGAATTTGCAACTTTGATTCAAGAACGCATGCTAACAAATGTAATTGCCCCACCAGAAAGAAAAGATTTGTCATGGATTTGTGGATCAATTCTTGCTTCATTATCAACATATCAATCCAGGTGGATCACAAATGCAAAGTACGAGGAATATGGACCCGATATTGGCAACAGAAAAAGTTATCAAATCATCTGAATAAAGTCTATAATCTGGTTTTTGATTTGACTTTTTTTTTATAAGTTTCAATTTCGATAGGCGCTGAGTCAAGTCCCTAGCCATTACATAAAATTCTATTATTAGAAAGGCAATTTAAGTATAAATATGGCAACCTTTGAGAAAACAAGCCTTTACAGAATGTTCAATGTTGACCACAATGCATGTATTGCAGACTTTGCCTACAAATAACTAGTTTTTAGAAAGGACATTTTTAACAGGTTTAACTTTGTAAGACCTATAGTCAGGCCATTTGCATTTCTGCTAATACGTAAATAAAAAAAAATTAGATTTCTTATTTTCTAATCTTTGTATTTCAACATATTATTGGTAGCATCTTTTTTTTAGCATGCGTCTGTCTACTCTGTAGACATTTGTGGAAAGTTAATGTTTCGTATTAAATTGCGTTTTATTTCAGTTGGAACATTTTGTGGTAACTGCATGTGGTCATATGACATCTAGATATATATCATTTGCCTAGCATATTGTTCTGTTATAACTATATCAGTTTGGTATACAGTCATAACAGATAAGGTTACACGGAAGCTATAAAATCAAGGGTTCCAAGTGGTGTAGTCGAAGTGATGCCTTTTACGGAGTCCACCACGAGTTGGTTGACCGTTACGGAATATCAGTTTCAGAGATGATAGCGGATATGTTCCAATTGTCGTAACTATCATTCTGGTCCCCTTTTTCCGAAAGTGAACTATCGAATTAAGACTTATTACTGGGTTAGTACTAATATGAACAACATGATATGTGCATGGTGTGGAGCACCTGAGATCACCCCCCAATTATGGTCTAAGAAACATAAAATTAACTTATGACAAAACAAGAAATGAAAATGATACTTTATAAATTTCACTTGATTTACCCTGATAAGAATGTTTAAGGTCAAAAATGTGAAAACCCAGGGACTTAAGCTTTCTGTACTTAATTCTGTAATGTGTGAGTTCATGTATTTGCTATATTAATTTTGCTAAATAAATGTTATGAAAATTATGATTTTTATTTCAGATTAAGACATTTTTGCAATATGTTTTCTCAAAAAAAAAATAATAGTGTTGGAGAATACGTTCATTTGAGAGACACTTAATACTGAGAAGTCTGTTCGACTCATAAGCTCCGAATGTCAAATGACAATGAACATGTCATCGCCCAGGTAAAAAACCTCAGGCAGACGACGAAAAGACAAAAAGGTAAAACATATACTGCGTGATATAGAAAACTAGAAACTGATCAACAGGAATTCGACTATCAACTTTTTTGGTCGTAAGGTAGTCCGTTAAAGTAAGCAGATTCGGATCCTCCAGTGACAATAGTAAGATAGAAATATAGACAATTGCGTGACAATTTCAGTTTAACGACTATTCATTTATTTCTGTAATGGTTTTATCAATTGATTTGTTATCAAATTACTGTGCATTTCATTTATTTTTGTAGATACCAATTTTCGTAGATTGAGGGAAAATTGTATTTGTGGACATTTGATTTCTGTGTTTTTCCAAAGACTGCATATATACCAAAACGTGGGAGTAGATGCTAGATGGTGACTTTAACGGTTCTATTGTTGCTTGGAGTCGTTTGAACTGATATTTTTGACTGTCAAATGAATGCCCAAATCATACCTAGATATATGAAGATGTGGTATGAGTGCCAATGAGACAACTCTCCATCAAATCAAAATTTATAAAAGTAAATCATTATAGGTCAAAGTATGGTCTTCAACACGGAGCCTTGGCTCACACCGAACAGCAAGCTATAAAGGGCCCAAACAATGACTAGTTTAAAACCATTCAAACAGGAATACATATTCAAACTCACTGACTACCATGTTTGTTTTTCGTTTGTTGTTTTAATTTTGTTGTTTGCTTTTTCGCTCCGATACCTTTTAGTATGGTATGGGTTTTGCTGATTTTTGAAAGCCACACAGTGACCTATAGATGTTAATAACATCTTTGTAATTTTATCTAAGGTATATAACTGTCTCAATTGCAATCATATCAGATCTCTTTATTTTTTTAGCAAAATGTACAACTGAATTACGAATAATCGAAATCATCATGCAAAGCCTACTTAACAAAGTATGAGCTTTATAGTGTCAGTTACACAATAGCGTCGACTCTTTCCATATATATGCCACTGTAAGTAGCATGTAGTGACTATTAGTTTTCTCTTCAGTATCTTCTCATTTAACATACTTTTGTTTTCCTTCAACAGTTGTTCAAATCATTCATCAAATCATGTACCCTATCAATACCTCAATAAAATAAGGAGATTAGACCGGTGGTTTTCCTGTTTGGATGGTTTTACACTAGTCATGTTTGGGACCTTTTATAGTTTGCTGTTCGGTGTGAGCCAAGGCTCAGTGTTGAAGGCCGTACTTTGTCCTTTAATAGTTTACTTTAACAAATTGTGACTCGGATGGAGAGTTGTCTTATCGGCACTCATACCACATATTCTTATACCTATGTGGTAAAATTACTAATGTAACTATCAACTAAAGTTCAAATGATGTGGATTTTAGCAATTATAGTTACCCGTACGGCCTTCAACAATGAGAAAAACCCAAACCGTATAGGCGGCTATAAAAGGCTCCGACAAGAAAAATATGAAATAATTCAATTGCAAAAACTGACGGCATGGCATAACTTATAAAAAAACAATTTACGAAAAACAAATATGGCAGACATGAATCAAAGACAGCCAGTGTACTATAGGTTCCTGACTTGGGACAGGCACATAAAGAATGTGGTGGGATTAAACATGTTTGAAATCAACTAACTTCCTCAATTAAAAATATAACTATATCGAGTTGTATATATAGATATATAGATGTAATAAAAACCGGAAAAACTGAGATACATTCCATATTTCGATGATATATAATGTGTGGGATGAGTATGTTACCGATTTTATATACAATTTACAGCGGGGGAAGCGTTTTGATTTGATAAAGTATTGCATATGCATCAGTAAGATCATTCATGGAAAGAGAACATATAGTTTTAATTTTGTGTTAGTTTTATGTTTTTTTTTTTTATTATTCAGAAATGATACACTATTCGAAGAAAAAATGTCTGATATCTGAATATATCAGTCTAGCTGCACAGCATGAGACCATAGACTCACTGACAATCTTCCAAATGTAAATGTTTTATTTATGTATGAAATAAAGAAAAAGAATATAATTTTGAGGGAACTGATCTTCTGTTAACATGTAAAAGATTCAATCTTTAAAAAATATTCCGACGTGTTCAGAATTTCATAAGAGTCAAATGGGATGTGAACGTTCCCCCAAAAAACTATATATGTTTAGAAAACTGAACACAGTTGAAACCTGCTGAGGAAATATTCGACATGCAATCTTTCGAGAATGTTTACACCTGTAAAATGTCAGGAATTTGCACGCGTTATCGTGGATCCTTGAAGCCTCCTACAATACAAGATATAGTACAAAAATGTAAACAAACAAGGCACATCATAAAATAACAATCCTCATAATTGTGAAATAATTAATTATTGACAGTTAATTTTAATATTAATTTATAACATTCACAGTGATGCTTTTTTCGATCCATTTTTAAGAAATTGTCTATGTCAGTGTCATATAAGGCAGACACAACGATTGTTAAAACAAGTTTTCGCAAAACCAGCTGATTTACTGTTAGAATAAGAATATCAATCTTAATGAGCAGGAAACTCCGTGGCCATTCTAGCTGATCAGAAAATGTCCCATCGTTTTCTACTGTGATTTCAACCCTCTCTTCGTTCATTGTCTGTGTCCACAATTGAATGTTTTCAGATTGTCAGCCTCACATACCCATTTACGGAAAAAAAGTTTGGGGGTAAATTACTAAGTTGTTTATTTCTTGGTACAATAAAAACTGGTAAAAATGTTTAAAAAAAAAGGCTTACGAAAGTAATGGGATTTTTTGCTTTTGAAGTGTCAAAAATTCGTTGAAAGTTCATTGTACTTGATAAATAGCATGCTCATATTGATGCTTTCGAATCTGTTTAAATTTTAGATTTTCCTACCCTATATACCACTTTTTCTTATAATTTCATTAAGAAAAATCACATAGCTTATAAAATGGGCATTTAAAATGTCAGAATTCGAATACATATGTTTCTTTTAGCTCAGTTTTAAGTAGCAACAAACAAAAGACCTATGTCAATTTAATCTTCTTTATCTCTACAAAGAGAATGATTTGATATTCGAATTATAGAAATCCGGAATCAAATATTACAAATCTTTTGAATTATAATTATCAAAAATCTTTAAATTATAATTATCATAGAATTCGGAAATAATAAATCAGAAATCTGCCTTTAATTTGAGTTTATGAATCTTAAACCATGCTTGTTTACACATCCTCCCCATCATGGGATTATGGAGTAACAACACGGAATACGAACATTGACTCATGATCTTTTGAGGTTTTATTATTGTTTGCTGTATTATATTTAAGTCGCTTGTTTGCGTCAGTGAAGGATTTTTATAAGATCTCACTATAAAATCTGCACTGATGATGTATATAGAAACCAAAATCAACAGGAAGAGAAGGGTGGACAGTTAGGTCTCAGAATCCACTTTCTTTAACCTTACAACCAGACAACATTTGGTCAGACATGTTTTCCTGCATATCGTCATTTTTTACTACTCCTTTCCTACTGGTTCCAAACCTTAACTTTTGCTTCCCTTTGACTCCCGCCTCTAAACTTCCCTTAGTCCTCTCGACTTCCCATGGACGGACCGGCTCTTTTATTTCTGTTTGTTATCTGCAAAATTGTCATTAAATTGGTTTAAATGCAAAGTTATAACTGACTTATATATGAACATGTGTCAATCCTGTACAAAATGAACAAACACACAAAAAAATATTGTTTTGCAAAC